TTTTTCAACTAAATGATTCTACTGATTGTTTATTAATTGTTTTCGTTTGTCCAACAACTGAATTCGTTTGTTCAACCCTTAAATCGGTTTGTCCACCAATTTAAATGAGAAAATTTCGATTGAAATGTTAAAAGTTGTGAAGTAGAAGAAAACCATAATTTTTTTTTCAAGTAAATGATTCTACTGATTGTTTATTAATTGTTTTCGTTTGTCCAACAACTGAATTCGTTTGTTCAACCCTTAAATCCTTTTGTCCACCAATTTAAATGAAAAATTTCGATTGAAATGTTAAAAGTTGTGAAGTAAAAGAAAACCATAATTTTTTTTTAAGTAAATGGTTCTATTGATTGTTTATTAATTGTTTTCGTTTGTCCAACAACTGAATTCGTTTGTCCAACCCTCAAATCCTTTTGTCCACCAATTTAAATGAAAAATTTCGATTGAAATGTTAAAAGTTGTGAAGTAAAAGAAAACCATAATTTTTTTTAAGTAAATGGTTCTATTGATTGTTTATTAATTGTTTTCGTTTGTCCAACAGCTGAATTCGTTTGTCCAACAACTGAATTCGTTTGTCCAACCCTCAAATCGGTTTGTCCACCAATTTAAATGAGAAAAATTCTATTGAAATATTAAAAGTTGTGAAGTAAGAGAAAAACCATAATTTTTTTTAAATAAATGATTGATGTGATTGTTTATTAATTGTTTTCGTTTGTCCAGCAACTGAATTCGTTTGTCCAACCCTCAAATCCTTTTGTCCACCAATTTAAATGAGAAAATCTCGATTGAAATGTTAAAAGTTGTGAAGTAAGAGAAAAATTATAATTTTTTTTCAAGTAAATGATTCTTTTGATTGTTTAAAAATTGTTTTCGTTTGTCCAACAACTGAATTTGTTTGTCCAACCCTTAAATCGGTTTGTTCACTAATTTAAACGTTTTTTGTCATTTTTTTTTAATTTTAAAAAAAATTAAAAGTTGGACAAAAAAAGTTTTTTGTTGGACAAACCTAGACTAATCGTGGACAATCGAAAGCAATATAGAAAACTTAAAAATATTAAACTGGAGGAGCCAACTTCACACACCTAATAATCTATCAGTTCTTTATATCTTTCACTACTCACTTGAGCTTGATTATTTGCACAAGATCTTAATCTATCTTTTTCTATTTTTACATCATTTTCAACCACCCATTGTTGAAACAATCTACCTCCATATAAAAATTGATTAAATTCTTTATCTCTTACAGCAATTTTGTATTTAATGTAGGCAGACCTAGAAATAGTATGATTTCTAATTCTGTAATCACTATCACTACGAATCATATTAATATTATAACCCTTATTTCCAAGTGGATAAAATATGGGATAAATCCATGGTTCAACATTCGGATCCAAATTACTAACCAATTTTAATTCCTTTGTAGATTTATTATAAACTGTTTGATAAGATTCTGGTATTTCTCCTTCAGAGTCTGCATTAAAAATTGCAGCAACTTCATTAAAACTTTGATAATTGTATCTATTTTTATCAAAGCTTTTTTCAACGTGAACAATAATTGTAACTCAGGAATTTCTTCATTATTTGTCTTGCTAATTGAGCTTCTATTTGAATTACCTCTGACATCATCATGTGAGATTTTGTGTATGCATTAGAATTTCTCATAATATTTTCTATACATTTTAAACCGTCTTCATCCAAATTTTCATTACATACTTTTTAATCTGTATCTAATTGATTCCTCAGGGTCATAAATAAATAATTGACCAAAACATAGATCCTCACCTTTATCCGGATATAAAGCACTATTAATTTGATAGTAAATTTGACCTTGAATTTTGTAACAGAATGGTCCTCTCCTTCTGCCATTAAAATTAATTACATTAGAATTTAAAGATCCAAAAAAAAGAATTATTATACAGCCTTATATTCTTTTTAAAATGACCTGATTTTTTATGAAACCATTCTAACAAAAGCCTTAATTCATCTGGATATTGTATTAAAGTTAACACAACACCTCCATGACTACAGCAGTCATTAAAACTAACTTTTTTACCAGTAACTTTTCATCTTTAAAATGTTTAGCTTGACAATGTGTGCAGTAATTATTTATCAGACCTAGATAATTTTCAACATTGAATTCATTTTTAATTTCATGCTTTAATACTCCTTCACAATAATTTCTTTGACATCGAGTATTCTTTGTTTTTGACATTGAACTTGTATCACTATTTTTATTTTTTAATTTAAGGTTCTCAGCATATTCTAGTTTGGATTCGACTTGAAGTTTTTTCTTAGCTGAAGTGTGTTTTTCACTTAATAATTAACGTTATCAATTGTACGTTTTAATTTTTGCCTCACGATAATTTTTTTGAATTTCAGCCCTACTTTCTTCAAGTGTTTTTGATGCAATATTTCTTTCTTTATTTCATTTATAATTCTCGGGAAAGAAATGGATGTGTATGCTTCCTCTGAATAATTTTCATTATCAATTTTACGTTTTAATTTTTGCCTCTCACGATAACTTTTTTGAGTTTCAGCCCTACTTTGTTTAAGTGTTGTTGATGCAATATTTCCATCATTTATTTCATTTAATATTCTCGAGAAAGAAATTTCTTTCTTAATAGAGTTTTTAGAAAAGTTTGATTCTCAATACTGAAGTTGAATGTCTTTTTTATTTAAAAGGCAAATTCAGTCATACACAACTATGCAAGATCTACTATTGGAAAGTTGTACAGAGGGAAATGTACATAAACTATTGTTTTCGAACATTATCATTAAATGATTTCTAATATTACAATAATAGTAATTGACAGAGTGGGTCAGAATATTAAAAAACAACGATGTTGCAAATTATATCCAGTATAACCAATTTCCAATTTTGCCTTTTATCCAATTTAACCAATTTCCAGCTTTGTTTTTATCCAATATAAATAATTTCCAATTTTTCCTTTTATCCAATTTAACCAATTTAAGCAATTTCCAGCTTTGTTTTTATCCAATATAACCTATGTACAATTTTTCCTTTTATCCAATTTAACCAATTTCCAGCTTTTTTTATCCAATATAACCAATTTCCAATATTTCCTTTTATACAATTTAGAGTTGCACGTCAAGCCGATATGTTCGTTTGGCTTGTAGTATTTTGTTCGAATGACAAAAGAAATTGAAACGACAAACTTCTCGCTCATTCAATTGTTTATTCAACATTTAATGTTGTGTCAAGACTCAAGATTCTTGACAAGATTCTGATTGTTTCAAAATCTGTCAAAATATTATCAAAATACTGTGAAAAATATTTCAGACTATTGAAAAATGGAAAACGAATCACAAGGAACTTCTTTAGAGTAAATTAGTTTATTTAATGTTGTACTGATTAAAGTTTGAAACATTTTTAAATTTATATTAATTTTTAATTATGGAAACTAAAAACACTTTTCATTTTTACATTACATTCTTATTTCTATTCTTGTATTTTTATCTGTAGAATTTTGAATTTAATTAACACATCCAAGTATTTTCTAACCTGTTATTTTATATGTCTTTATTTATTGTTTTTAAAAGCATTGTAATTTTTAACCTGTATGTAATTACACAGTGATCAAAATCAGAAAGCAGACACTGTTCACCAAAGTATTAAAGTAAGCGTCGACGACTGAATAAAAAACCCTTAGATGAATCTTTTGAATTTTATTTTGATAAGGAAAGGGTGAAATGGGCAAAATGTAAAATGTGTTCTTTGAAAGATTTAGAAAATGCGAAACCTATTAAGATGAGGAATAGCAATACAACCGGAATTAAACGCCGAATCAAAAAGGCACATCCAGATGTATTTAAAGACACTTATGTTGAGGACACTGAAAATGTAATTTTTTAGTTTGAATAATATTTAATTATATAACCTTTGATTAAGAAATCATTTAAGTAAATTTTTTATTTATAATTATAATTTATTTGTTTATTATATTATATAACATTTATTCTCGTAATTAATTCTTTTATTAGAATATTTTTAATAATTCTTTTTATTAAAAGTGTTTATAAATAATTAATTATTTAATCTATTATTAACATCATGATATATTTACACACGAAATAAAAAAAATGAAAAATATGACCGAGAAATATAAACAAATATAACTAAAAAAATAAATACTAAAAGTATATTTACTATTAAATATTACTAAAATCTAAATAATAACACTGGGTTACAAAAAAATGGTCATGTCGTGTTTATTTAAAATTTACTGTGTTTATTGAAAGTTTAGGTGTCACTGAATAAGAATATACCAGAAAAACTTTTTTTCATTCGGTCATTCCCTTAAAAAACGAGTTTAAAGTCTCAAAAAACCGTATTTTTAGCACTTTTTGAGGCAGCGTAACAAGAAAACGCAACATGATAAAAATCTCTACAAAAGCTTAAATAAAAGCTTAAACCTTCAACTTTAAGGCTCAGAACTGAAAAGTACTTAAATAAGCACTGAAAACCTGCAGTCGCTATCTGAAATTATCAAAAAGCTGGTTTAGGTAGCACTTGGTAAAAATCGATTTCCCTAATTGGATTCGTTTGCAAATTGTTACTTGAGGTTTCTAATGACGAATTGGATCTTGGATTTAAAAATTTCAAAATGGCGGACTCAATTTTTTAAAATTATCAACGCAAATTTTGAAAATTGAGTGAATTCATTATTTTCAGTCCGCCATTTTGAAATTTTTAAATCCAAGTTCAAATTCGTCATTAGAAACTTCAGAAAACCTCAATTAACAAGTTGCAACCGAATCCGGTTAGGGAAATCGATTTTTACCAATTGCTTCCTGTTCTAGCTTTTTTTGACAATTTCAGGTAGCGACTGCTTGATTAAGGAGGTTTTCATTGATTATTTAAGTACTTTTCAGTTCTGAGCCTTAAAGTTGAAGGTTTAAGATTTTATTTAAGCTCTTGTAGAGATTTTTATTAGTTGCGTTTTCTTGTTACGCTGACTCAAAAAGTGCTAAAAATACGGTTTTTTGACACTTTAAACTCGTTTTTTAAGGGAATGACCGAATGAAAAAGCAGTGCCACTGTGTGATAGGTGTCGTGCTAAAATGTGAAACGGATTTTGACTTTCGCTTGAGGTACAGATGTTGTACTTCAAATGCTACTGTTTAGAAGTACAGTATCTGTCGGTCGCTATGAAACAGATCCTGTACTAATTAGTTCGTACCGCCGCCGCGCTGCTTGAGCGTAGTACACGGAAAAAATAAATTCTGTAAGAATTCCTGAATTTGTTCCATAATTGAGGATTTGTGCAAAGTTCCAGAAATTTTTAGAAATTCAATGTAAGTATATCTGAATCGTTCCGAACTAATTACGAAACGGTTTTTGTGAGACTTTCAAAATCAGCATTATAAATAAATTCCTGAAGAAATACAGGACTGGTCTATAATATTATCGAAATTTTGTCGTAGAAATTATATTTCTTCTAAAATAGTATTTACAAGCGTCTAATCAAGGAGAACTCCAGTTTAAATTTCATAATAATTCCCGAACTTCATCGAAAGAAAAGATGTGCCGAGATTCTCCGCGCATGTTTTAATAGTGTATGTGTGAGAAAGAGTGTAAACACGAGTAAACGACTCTTCTCTTACCATTAGTTCCTATGTTCGCGGCATGAGCGGAATTTCTTTAATATTATATTTTTAACGGTTTTATTTTATTTATAATTGTGCGTATTCACAATATATGGATTTTTATTAAGGAAAACCGAACAAATGTAAGTATGCTTTCATGTTTAAGTTTATATTTGTTTAAAATAAGATCACATATTAGAAGGTAATATGACTTTTAGGGTTATGTTATAATAATACAGATCTTTGAAGTGAAAGTACTATCTTTGAAAAAAAAATTTTTTGGCTTTTTTCAGTGTATATTTTAACTTATTCACATTGCTTAAGGTATTTTAATATAAGCTTTGCTAAACATTTTTTCAAATTTATTTATTTTTTTTATTTACTTTGCATGTGTACTGCACGTTGGCTATAATATTTGACAGAAAAAACAAATGGAAGAGTACGAGGACATGGTAAGAATGTTAAATAAAAATTTTCATGTACAAATTTAAATTCAAAGGTAACGATCGTAAATAATAAGTTAAGTTATATCTCATTTTATACTCGATGGTAATAATATATTTAATTCCTTATTTTTAATTTTAGTCGTTATTTGGATGTTTTCCTTTGCCGCCTAACCTTGTTCAAAAGGTGTCAACAGAAGGACGGACAGATATAAACACGCTTAAAAGGAGTTCCGATTTGCTGGATTTAACTGCTGTACCTTGTGCCAGTGTCTCAGAAAGCAAAAGAACGAACCTTAATCAAGACTTTCAGACGTTCAAAACAAGACAAGGCCAAAGGACCTCTGAACTATTGGATCTATCGGTATCAATCGTTACCAATAACACGGAAAGTGGAAACTCTGAGGTAAGATTGTGAAAATATATTTTAAAAAGTATAATTTTAGTTTTTTTTAAAGATGTACTTTTTTAATATACTGTAGGTTTGTTGTCAATCAAATTTTTCGGCCGAAACTTTGCCCACGTCCGCGCCTGTAGAAAAAGGGAATTCTTCGTTAGTACACATTGATTTCAATGATGACGTTCGATCAGGAGTACGTGATTTACTATTTACATAAATTTATTAAATGTAAATTTTTTTTTAATTTCTACAATAACTGTTTTAGGCATTAAGTGCACTACTTGGTTCGGAAATCGATGCAAAATTATCACTTAAAGCGTATATTGATAACGGGTATATGCCGGATAACGGTAGAACTATAATGGTTCAATCTTTTATCAAAAAGAAAATCGCTCAACTTATGAGAACCTTTGATGGGTCGCCACTAAATGATTGGATGTTGGTTTTTATTCTTTTTTTTGTATTTTACATGTGTTACTTAAAAGGTTTAAATAGTAATTTAAATTTTGATATTATCTGTATTCGCTAAATAGTATTCCAAAAGAAGACTTCAAATCGTTTTGTAAAATAATTGAACAATTATTTCCATCGGAAAGTGGAACTACATATTTTACCGAATTTCATATCGAGAATGGATTAAGGTGTCCTGGAACAGGGAAATTGTTAAACAGATTTGAATATGAGAAAAAAAAATTAAGAGCGAAAGGAATTATAAAACCCTTTGAAAAGAGTACTAAGAACACAGCAAATCCAAAGAATATTGTTATTACTGGTTAGAAATTTTGAAATTATTTGAAATTTTTTATTTGAATGAAAAAAATTAAAACTAATTTTTTATTTTAGATACCATTAAAGAGAAAATCGATTACTTAGAAACACATTCGGATGATTTGGAACAAGTAAAAATTTTTTGGCAAGAAACGTTACAGCATCGTAGATATCTGCTCGAAGTTGAAAAAATTACGGTCCAAAATTATTTGTTAAAATTCAAAGCTCTGAGAGAACAAGCGGGACAGAAACTTGTACGTATTCTTACATAGATTTATACATGACTGTTTTTATGCTTAAGAGTAATATTATTATAAGTATATGTATATTACATTATTCACATAAGCAATGATTAATTTTAGATTGAAATAGATTTTAATCTACAGCATCCAGGAAAAGAGAAAGCACTATCTGATAAGTGGCCAACAATCAAGGATCATATAATTCGACTTTTACAAAATGCAAAATTATCTGCAACAGAGCAAAGTTTCTTTGAGTTGTTACCAACTTTAGAAGAAGGTAACTAATTTTTCAATACGAAACATTTTGTTGACTTAAAGTTTTGTTTAATTTCAAATATCTATATTTACTTCATAAAGGTTTTAAATTTTATTTCTTATTATTATTTTCAGATAATCAAAATGCAGTTTTGCTCTTCCTGCTTCCGAAAATTATACCTGCTGGCCGAATCATAACTTCAAAAAAAAGAAAACGCAAAGGAACTGTGGAAACGCAACACGATAACAATATAGTCGAAGCAGAGGAGAGTTCGAGTAATGCTGAAAGCGATCCATTCCTGAAAGGAATAAAAAAAGATGAATATAGAGATTCATATATGTTACAAATACCAGTAGGTATCAATTCAAATATAGATAAATTAAAATTTCGTTAATTTTTATTTTTGATAGATAAAAATTGGATTATATTTCATTTTAATTAATGAACTTTTTTTGATCATTAAAACTTATGACTAATATGTGCTTGTATCTTATAACTGATTAATTTATATATTTTTATTAATAATTCAGCAATCAGTTGAATAAAAATTGATTTCATATTAAAAAACTCAATTCTAAAAATGTTATTTATTTTTACAGATTGCAATTGAAGCAGATCCAACCTTGCTGGAATTGAGAGAAGTTTTAAATAAAAAAAAACTAACCCTCCAACCACTAATGGTAATAATTGGATCTATTTTTAGTATAAATGAGATTTACGTAGTGGTAAATGATGTTTGGTATAAAACAGAATCAGTTTTAGAAGCTGCAGATTTAACATTTAAATCGTTTTTTGTTTTCGATTGCCAATATCCACAAAAATCAAAAAATTTGTGGCAATTTTTACAAATTGCAGCGTATAATATACCAACACCGAGTGAAAAAGTTGGTATAAAAATACGGGCATTGATAAAAGAGATTAACTTAAGTTAAAATGAAATCATTGTTATCGTGGTTGAATTATATGTTCAATATGTATTACTGCTTTGCTTGCGATTTTAAATGTCCAGACAATAAAAGTCTAGTTATCCACGTACAGTTATCTCATAAATCACTTAATTATTTTAAATGTAAAGAACCGAATTGTTTAAAAACATACACTGTATTCGATTCATATAAAAAACATCGTTTGAATAAACATAATGTGGACGAATTGTCGAGTCAAAATGAAGTCATAGTTAGTAATGATGAGGAAATAACGAATTTTACAGTAGATGAAGATTTAAGCGTTAGAGACGAGACATCATTGAACACCAATTTTGATAGCAGTTCATCTGAAGAAGAAGATGAACTGGATAATAATTTACTTTCATCTTGCGATACTTCAAATTTTTATAAACTTCCTAGCTCCGTTAATGAAGATGTATCATTATTCGTGGCTAAGTTGAATAAGTTTCCTGATATTAGTCGAAAAAGAGCTGACGAAATTATTTATGATGTTTCTATGTTATTCGAACAAAATATGCGATCAATTCAAGATGATATAAAAAAAAACCTAACGTTATTGGGAAAAGATTCCATGAGTATTTCAGAGATTGATGATATATTTCAAAAATTTGCATCTCCTTTTGATAGTTTTAAAACAGAAGCAAGGCGTTTAGCGATTTTTAAAAAGCAGGGGACTTTTATAGATCCTGAATATTACAAGCTTGGTGAGTCTAAAATTTTAATTGAAAAGAATGGTGAAAAAGTAATTAAATATAAAGATATTGTAGCTCAGTTTATTCCGATTAGAACAGTTCTAAAACAATTTTTTGAATTGCCAGACGTATTCGACAAGACGATAGCATATTTAAACAATGTTGAGGAACATTCACTTCTCATTAGAAATATTGTACAAGGTTCATTGTGGAAAGAGAAAAAGAAAGCTTTTTCTAATAAAATTGTTCTTCCTTCAATACTTTACGTGGATGATTATGAGAATAACAATCCTCTTGGTAGCCACAAAGGTGTATCAAAATGTTGTGCCGCTTATTATAGTATTCCAGTTTTACCACCAGAACTACAATCTAAAGTAGAAAATATTTTTCTTTTTACATTATTGAACTCAAAAGACCGTACAGTATTTAAAAATAAAATAATTTTCACTAAACTAATTGAGGAAATTGAGTTTCTCGAACGAGAAGGAATAACAATAACTATTAACAATGAAAAAAAACAAATATATTTTGCGCTTACTTTAATTTTGGGGGATAATCTGGGATTACATCAAATTCTTGGCTTTACTGAATGTTTTAATGCCAATTATTTTTGTCGATTTTGTTTAACCAAACACAATAAATTGAAAACAATTTTCAACGAAAGTAAATGTATGCTACGTAATAGAAAGAACTATGATGAACTTCTTTTCAAAAATGATGTTTCGCAATCCGGTATTAAAGAATGTTGTGTCTTTAATCAAATTAAAAGCTTCCACGTTATGGAAAATTATTTTGTAGATGCTCAACATGACTTGTTGGAGGGGGTTTTACGTTACGATGTAGCTCTAATATTATTTCAATTAATATTTATTGATGGCATTATTACACTACAAGAATTGAACTTAAGACTTTCGAGTTTTCAATATTCAGTCGCGGACAATATTAACAAACCACCAGGACTCTCTGAAAAACATATTAAAAACGGGTATATAATTATTTCATCTGCTGAAAGGCTAAATCTTATTAGAAGTTTACCTTTAATAATGGGACCATTCGTACCCAAAGATAACTTTCATTGGAAATTGCTTCTTAAATTAAAAACAATAACTGAAATAGTATTCAGCAAAGTAATTCACAATACAACGTATAAATTATTAGAAATAGAAATTGAAGAATATTTATCTCTTTTAACATCGAAGCATCCTGATCAAATGAAGCCGAAACATCACTTTTTGATACATTATCCAAGTATTATGAGGAATATTGGACCTCTAGCAAATGTGAATTGTTTACGATTTGAAAGTAAACATAAAGATTCTAAAGTTGCATCGCATGCATCTATTTGCAGAAAAAACATATCCAGAAGCATCGCGATTAAGCACCAAATGGCTTTAAATTACAGATTTTTGAATCACGATATTAATTGTAAATTATTTGAAAATGGTCCTCTTATTGTAAAACGAGTGAGCGATATTAAAAATGTTGACGACGAATTTTACTCTCTCGTATCAGAGTACATTATATCTAACGCCATTCCTTGCACTAAATACATAAAATACTTAGGACAAAAGATTAAAGAAAATACTATTGTAACTATTTTCTCAGAAAACGGACCAGAGTTTCATCTTGTCCATACAATATTATATTATCTGAAAATAATACTTTTAAAATTATTTCCAGAAGATTAGATGATCTTTTTTAAATGTATAAGTAAAATCTGTTTAAAACTTAAGGGAATTTGAACTATTATGACGTCACAATTTTAGAACACATTCTTTGCCCAAATTTTGACGTCATAATGATTCAAATGCCATTTATAAATAAACATTATATTTATTAATATAATTGTTCTTCGAACAAAAATTTCAGACAGCGACCCCGTTTTATCACAAGCGCTGAATAAAAGTAAAGTCTAGTATATAAGAGACTTCCCAGGTCCCTACAACCAGCGTGCGATTCAATGCGTCGTGTATTTGCGTTTATTTGTGTATAAATTATGTGTGCGTTAGAATATATGTAGGTAGCTATAAGTGTATTATGTATGTATGTATGTGTGTGTATCCTCCTCAACCAATCACAGTTCGCCTTGCTTGACGAATGTCGATCAAGTATATACGCGTATACACAACTTCTTTTTTTTATTTTCTTTGCTACGGAATTGTTCCGGAACTATTCTGTAGCCCTTATAAGAGCTTCTTCATATATGAAGCGACCCTCTGAATTTTTCCCGAACTCATCGGAAGTTCTACCGTCCAGACTATCTGAAATACTCAGCCGCTACATTTCGTAAAAACTATCACATAAATACCGAGTTCTTACCATATAATTCCTAAATATCTATTTTGAAAGTTCGACATTTCTTCCAAATAACAGCTCTATAATAATTACCGACTTTTGCTCATATCCTCAATTTCGGAACAAATTCAGGAATTCTTACAGAATTTATTTTTTCCGTGTATCTAAACTATGAATGACACCAACTGAATAAAATATTAAGAACGGGCACTGACAGGCATTTTACACGGCCGGTGTTTGTCACAGTAAGGATTCTGTGCTTTTCTTCTCTCAGTGCAATATAACCAATTTCCAATTTTTCCTTTTATCCAATTTTAACCAATTTCCAGCTCTGTTTTTATTCAATATAAATAATTTCCAATTTGATTATCATGCAATAGAATTGCCATTTAACATAATTGTCATTAAACGAAATTGACATTTAACATAAATATTTTGCAAAGTAATAACATTTAACATAAATGTAACAGAATTGTCATGAAACAAAATTGCATTTAACATAATTATCATGCAATAGAATTGACATTTAACAAAATTTTCATGGAATGCAATTTATATTTACAAAGAAGTGTCATGCAACCGAATTGACATTTAACATAATTTTCATGCAACAAAATTAACAATAAACATTATTATTTTACTGAAATTTTTTAAACTGACAAATGAAAAAAGTGAAAATAAAATATGATTGGTCAATTTAAAAATTCGCGCTAAAAAAATTATGTTAACTGTGAATTCTGTTTCATGAAAATTGTGTTAAATGACAATTCTGTTACATGTTAATTCTGTTGCATATCAATTTTGTTCTATGTCAATTATGTTAAATATTTTTCTGTTAAATGACTTTTTGGTTGTTTGTCAGTTGTGGAATATTCATGCGTCCCGATTTTAGTTATACTTTGTAATTGATAGTGTTAATATAAAAATGTTGTGTTTTGATTCTTTTTAAAAATATTTTTTTGTAATTTTTACAGCACTATACTTACGCACATCACCGTCGACATCACTTTAAAGAACATTTAAATTTTGAAAAGTTTTGCATTTAAAGAATAGAGGGGAGATTTTCAAAAATAAATAAGATTTATATTTTCTCAAAAACATACGTATGGAATCAATTTAAATCTATCGCTTCGTAGGGCTCGGATCGACTTTAAGACTGAAAAAAGTCGCTTAAGTCGCATAAATTCACAACAAAAGTCACGAAAAGTCGCATAAAATTTGCAAAAAAATTAAAAAAAGTCGCATGGAATTTTAGAAAAAACGACAAAAAGGAAACACGAAATTGTCAAAATTGTAAAAAAATCACATTTATCGACAACACATGCTTTAATATCAAACAATCCAGAATAAAATTTAATAAAATTCAAAGCTAAATTTTAATTAAGTATTTTTAACATTTTTTTGAAAATTCTCTTTAAACTGTAAAATATTTTTATAAATAATAAAATTCTTCTCCTAAATTCAATTATTTAAAAAAAATTTAATAAAATTCTTGTCAAAATTTCAATTATCTTTATAAATAATAAAATTCTTCTCTGAAATTCAATTATTTCCATAAGTAATAAAATTCTTCGCAGAAATTCAATTATATTCAAAAATTTTTTTAAAATTCTCGTCAAAATTTTATAAATAATAAAATTCATTATGGAAATTTAATTATTTTCAAAAGTTCTGATAAAATTCTAATACAACATTCAATTATCTTCAAAAGTACGAAAATTCTTCGCTGAAATTCAATTATTTTCAAAAAATTATTTTAAATTCTCCTCACAATTTCAATTATCTTTATAAATATCAAAATTCTTCTGCAAAATTCAATTACTTTTAAACATTTTTAAAGAAATTTGTTAAAAATTTCAATTATCTTTATAAATAATAAAATTCTTCTCTGAAATTAAATTATTTGTAAAAATAATAATAAAATTCTTGTCAAAATTTCAATTATCTTTATAAATAAAAAGATTCATCCTAGAAATTCTTATTATTTTCAATTTTTTTTAAATTCCTCGTCAAAATTTTATTTATCTTATTCATAAATAATAAAATTCATTATGAAAATTTAATTATTTTCAAAAGTTCTGATAAAATTTTTTGCAAAATTCAATTATCTTTAAAAGTAAGAAACTTCTTCGCAGAAAATCAATTATTTTCGAAATTTTTTTAAAATTCTCTTCAAAATTTCAATTATATTATCTTTGTAAATATCAAAATTATTCTGCAAAATTTAA